GTTTATTCGTCAGTGAAGAATTATCATCGTTATTATCATGGTCCTAGCAGGCCTTCTCTTCCACGTCGTGCTCTTCTGCTTTACCGCAGGCCCATTCCTCGCACCTGCCCTTCATCAAACCATAGACCTTCTCAAGAACACACCGTCTCTCATCACACATCTCCCTCTTGCGACTCTATCATCTGCAGGCTGGCTTCCATTTACAACGCTCTCACCGCCACCGCCACCGAGCACTTATAACCTCATCTTCATCGACTTGATCACTCCTCCGGGTTCAGTAGGACAACCTTTCAACGACTCTGGATACGTATATCACGAGGGATTCGAGCCTATCCCTGTACTTCCGCGGGGTATAGTGGAGTCTTTGTGGAAGGGAAGGTATGGAGCGCTGCTCGGTGTGGCGCTCCTTCTCGATATCATCGTTATGTGGCTCCTTGCGACGGTGGGTGTCCTGGTCTTTTCCTGTTCGAATCTTTCTCATTTATTTGTGTTATATGTTATGTCTAGGTTTGCTCGCGATCCAAGCGTCGACTGCACACGGGAACCAACATCAAACATGACCATGATCCTGAGGGGCCTGTGGCCGCCACTGTCACCGAGGAACCCCCGAGTGAACCTGTGGGCCAGGAACTCACAGAGTCTGTCATGTTCGATGGACTGTTGGGCAATTCATCCAAGACGAACAGGCCCATGGACGATATGGAGGTGTATGCATATATGTGTTCTGTCGACACAGACTTAGAGCGGCAGACGCCACCTGTCGAAGTCAAAGTTGAGGCCTCATCATCTGAGCTTGATGAATATGCTCGCGCCGAGGATTCTGGACCGAAAATTACGCCCGACCAAGAAGTGCCCCGCGTCGATACGACCAACGTTGAAGATGATGACTCCACCGAGATCAATCCAGAATCCAGTGGTCTTCACGTGGTCGAATACCAACCATTATACCGAACGTCCTCCTCTACCAAATCATCCCGTCATGGCTGGCGTACCATTGCGACCGGTTGCCCCACCGTTTACTTATTGGACAAGGACAAGGAACGTCGATTCGAGGCGAAGTGCCTCACAGGAGTCGGATTCGGAGGCGTTGATCCTGATGGCGTACGACTTGTTGTTAGTGTTGGGGATGAGAAGAAGAAGTGGACTGCGGAAGCGGATGTAGGGAGCTTCGTTAGTGAGTTCGAATTCTTCTGCTTGCTTCAATTGTGCGGGTGCGGATCTGTTTCTGATCAGATCTCGGGGAATGCTTTGACTCTATGCATGTAGATGCAAAAGTTTGGCAGGGAGTGGGTGACTTTCCGTAGCAGTCTAGGAGTGCTTCTTGACGCACAGAAGCACAAATACAGGGCTCTCAACCAATCAAAAATCGATCTGTGCCTCTTTTCTGCGTTCTGGGTCTCTAGAACGTACACAAACCCCCTACGGAAAGTCACCCAGTTTGCGATAAGTGATGGAAGGAAGGCTCGTACATGAAGTTCAGATCTGGTGCGTCATCTAATACATACATATCACACACCTACCCAGACTCTTGCTAGCGCTAACATTGATCCACCCAATCGTATTTAGGCCTCTTGACCGATAAAGAATGCATGTCGCAGCGTTCGTTTCTCAAGTCCCTTCAGGTTTGGAAGGGAGATATACGCGTTCCCATCGAGGCGGTAAAGGAGTTTCTCCCTCTCATCAACTTGCAGTCGAAAGACCTTGGCGATGGTACGTTCAATGTTCCACTTTCGGCGATCTTTCTCCTGGTGACTGATGCAATGTCTCCTCCCGCTCATGACTGATAATATTTGGTTGATCTCAACCCAGACGTTGGTTCTACTCTGACAGACTGGGTTTCCCTGCAAGGCCTCCAAGTATTCTTCAGATACTGGCGTCCACTTGTAGGTTTCCAATACACCGGGCTACATACGGCCTTCTACGACCATCTGCGACTGGACCCCGAAAAAGATAGGGCTATGCCGAAACGATACCAGATGTTGCCGCTATACGGTAAAGACGTCACACTCGCTGGGGTTCTCAAAGTACTCGGCAACACCGATGACGTCGAGGTGTCCGCTTTCCGCTTCCGTGCGGGAATGGAGTTGCGTGCTCCTGAGAACGTCGGCTTCAGGGATGCGGCCCCTTGAGCGTTTTCTAGAGTTTGGATTCGTGGTTGAGCTCTATCGCGCTATAAGTCCTTGCTCGATCGTGCTATAAATCTTTGCTCGAAAGTGCACCAGCGAGTGGTTGCGAACCCGACAGGTGTAAACTACCTAGATATGTCGAGGGCATGCACAGGTTTACCCTGTCTCGCCGTCTTCATAGAATATCGCCCTCTACAGGCTCTACGTCCGTCACGGTCTTACTATTGTCCGCATCGACGCGCGAAGGACTCTGAGGATTCGATCCTATTTATTCGGAGACCTGTACGACAGATTTCTCTCCAGTATAGACGACATTCCGGCCTGGATATGGTCTTCACTCGATTTCCTTCGAGCACGCGAGTTTTCCGACATGCATTCGAGCTGCATCGCTCTGGCCTGTACGTGCGCATGTCAAGCCTTTCACATGCGACCCATGAGGGAGAGCTGCGACGTTTCTCGACTAGTGTACTCAGTGTATTGTAGACAGCGACTCAAAGGTCGCTTCCGGTTGTCTGCCCTGCTAGAGATAGGGCTTTGTCTGCGTTTGCGGACCAAGCTCAAACGTCGAGTCGATCGCGTCGCGAGAGGCGTTCTCGGGGGGTGCATAACGATAATAGAACGTAGTAGCTCAACCTGTCCAGAACAGAAAATGTGGTTACTCTGTCGTTGTGCTCTGCCAACGTCCTTCTCTTTGGGCGTTCAGCTCGAGCTCGCCCGCTGAATACTTAACAGGAGATCACGAAATTGTTCCCCAAACGTTTGCAGAGAACTCTACGCTGAGATTGGAACAAATATTATGTGCCCGCGCTCTCGTCGTATTTTTTCAGGACGGATGCACTACGCTCGACGCTTTATGCACTCGGGGACGTTGGCAATTGAACACCGTATCATTACTCAAACTGTCGTTCCGGAGCGATGCGTACGATTCCTGGAGGGATCTACTGGCTCAGAACAGTAGCAGAGCTTCGGCGTGTGTTCGATCAAGACCTATGGACAGGGAGGTACAGTGGACAGCCTGAGCCCGAGAGTAAAGGAACAGAGGCGGGCGGTAGGATGAATTGGAAGCAGGGAAAAGTAGAAGAAATGAGGACTCGAGGCCGGATGTATGAATATAGGTACTCAAATTACATGCGTTGAAAGGATATCACGCTGGACGTCAGCCAATCGTTGTAGATGGACTGCGCCAGGACGTGGTAATACAGGGATCCGACATCACTACAGGAAAAAATCTAATGCGGAATGGTAGCAAAAAAAAATGACGAAAAAAGAGACCATGAGAGAGAACGAGACAAGAAAGGGGGAGAAGGCGAGTAGTACAGGTACATTGACCACAGGTGATGAAAAGACAACACGCTGGACGTCAGCCGATCGCGGTAGATGGACTGCGCCAGGACATGGTATCAACAAAGTACTCCGAAAGAATGTGAATGCAAATAAAAAAACGACGAGAAGAAATGAACCACGAAAATGAAACAAAGACATGAGAAGGCGGGTGATGCGAGTAATACACGCACATGGACCACAGGTGTTGAAAGTGCAACACGCTGGACAGCAGCCGATCGCTGTAGATGGACTGTGCCAGGACATGGTCAAAGAAAAAAGAGTCGCGAAACGAGGAGCAAAACACAAGAAAAAATGGTGGTAGGAAGATTCACCAGGACGGATACGTAGACCACAGGCGTGAATAGGTAACGCGCTGGACACAGCCGATCGCTGTAGATGGACTGCGCCAGGAAATGGTCATGCATCTGGTACGAGGAGAGGAATTAGAGGGGAGCAGTGAACTTCAGTCCCATCGCAAAAGCGAAAGAAACCGGGGAGCTGATTGACGGGGTCGCAGGACGCGAGAGGTGGAACCGACCGCACGATGTGAGATCTGTATGGGCAAATCATACTGATGGTCTGAGAGCGAGGAACGCTCCCCAACACCGCCTGATCCGCGAAGATGATGACCTGTGTAGACACAACACAGGCCTGTTCGAGACGGTGATGGTCTGGGTTGGGGCGTAGGTCTTGAGATGTCCATCGGCTGGGAACGCCTGAGACCTCCTCGCGACCACTAAGCTAAAGTGGTGCGCGCAGGATGCAGTGCGGGATCGTCGCCCAGGAGGTAGGCAACAAAGCTGAGCATGAGAGGACTACGGAGGGCGGTTGTGTCTCAGGGCTGCAAGCGGCTCTTGCGGTATCCTTTACCGAGGCGGGGTTCGGGAGACGTAGAGGCCAGGTACATCCGATAAAGTCGAACTCGAGGCTGTGAATAGCGACAACTAACAAGACAATGGCGGGGTCAGAATAGGCGAAAGACACGGGACGAAGGATAAAGGAAGATACGCACACGATATGAGAAAGGCCTCACGGAGTATCAAAT